GTTTTCTTGTTGGAGGGAGGATATATGCCAAATACCAGATTTTAGATAAAATTAGTGATTTGGCTACTAGAATTTTCCCTTTGAAGGATAAGTTACGACGCGAAAGATCTTCTATCTTTTTTCTTATTTTTTTAGTTAGTTCTTGCCAAAGATTTTTTTCTGGGTTGCCTTTCAGATCTACTTTGTAGCCTAAAATAGTGATGGTATTTTCTGTATCCTTGTTTAAAATTTTAAAGGATTCACTATTTTGCAGAGTTACAACGTATGCATTTTCAGTAATAGGTGCTAGGATAGATTTTGTTTTGTTAATTTTGGAGTTTGAGGCTTGTTCAAAGGTATCTAGGATATTTTTAAGCTTGTTTCAGTCTGAGGTTGAGCTAATGCCTATTGTTATATTATCCGCATATGCTGAAACTTTAAATAGAGTGTTCTTAACCAGAATACTATTTAAGTTTTTAGATATTGCTTCTAATAAGGGATTGATTGCCAGAATATACAGGAGTGGAGATAGAGGATCATCCTGTCTAACTCCTCTTTCAACTTTGAAAGGCTCTGAGATTCTGTTCGAATCTGTAATATATGCATTTTGAGATGTAAAAAGTGAGTTAATAATGTTTATGAATTTCTTTTAAAATTCATTTTCTCTAGGATTGTTTCTATAAATTTGTAGTTTATCCTGTCAAAAGCTTTTTGTTGGTCTAAAAATAAGAGCCAATGTTGTTTCGATTGATCTGGCTGGTTTCTCAGAACTGAGATTATGTCTAGCATTGTATCAGTAATTAGTCTTCCCACTATAAATCCTTGTTGTGAGTTGCTGATTGTGTTGTTGCAAATTGGATTTAGCCTGTTAGCTAGAATTTTCATAAAGATTTTTGCATCGCAATTCACTAGTGAGATGGGTCTCCAGTTGTTGATATTATCAAGTTCAAGGTTTTTCTTGGGTATTAGTGTAATTATGCTTTTGCTCCAAGAGGTTGGGATTGTTCCTAATTCTAAGACATGATTAAATAGCTGTCTCAGTAGTGGGAGTAAGTTTTCTTTGAAATCTTTATAGAATTCATATGAGAGTCCATCTGTTCCTGGGGATTTGTTTAGAGGTAAGCTATCGATAACTCTTGAGATTTCTTCTTCTGAAATAATCTTCGTAAGAGTTTGGTTCTGTTCATTCAAAATTTGTACGATATCCTTTGTAAGAGTTGTTATGGCTTCTTGGTTGACTTCCTCTGCTTTGTATAACTTCTGGTATATAATTCAGTATATATCCTTGGTCTGTTTTGTTGGGATCTAAGGGATCTCTAACTGCATTGCTGCAGGATGCTGAGTGTTTGGATTTGTACTGGGCAAAGAAGTATCTTGTTGATCTTTCTCCTTCTTTGATCCACTTTGTATTGGATCTAGTTTGCCATTTTTCTGTTAGCGTAGCTGTTTCATCTTGTAACTTTGTATGAAGATCTTCAGCAACCAGTTGAAGTTCTACCAGGTTTGGGTTAGTTGCAATTTTGTTATTGATTTTTTGCAGTTTCTTTTGTAATCTTTGCATTGTTTTTTCAGCTGAGATTTTTGGTTTTTGTGCTCTTATGATGGCTTAAACTATGTGCTTTAGTAAGTCTCATTCTTCTATATTTTAGTGTTTAGATAGTGTATCATTGATGATTGTATTGGTCTCAGGTTGTCTACTAGTTTTTCTATTGAACCTCCAGAGACAAGGTCTGTTTTCTGATGGTTTTAGTGATAATTCACATTCAACCAATAGATGATCAGAATTTCTAAAGTGAGTTTTTGTAGTTTTGCATACGTGGTTATGATCACTATCAATAAAGATATAATCAAGCCTTGTTGTCATTATGTTTCCACCTCTCGTGCATTAGTTAAAAGTGATAAAAGGTTTTTCCTCTGAAAAGATAGCTGTGTCTATAAAGTCTATTAATTTTGACTTGAGCAACACTCTTGATAGGTCATATTGTGAAGTTGCTTGACTTATTCAGTTAACTTCTGAATCTAGATTAGTGTTAAAGTCGCCTGCTAGGATATTTATATACCCTTCTTTATATATTAGTGACCAATTTGTAAAGAATGTGGTTCTATTGTTTATGCTTGGAGGAGCATAGATATTTGTTATCCAGAAGGCTTGATTTCTAATTTCTGTCTGTGTTGAAGTTACTTAACCTTCATGTAAGCTTTTGCAATCTTTTAATTTAATGTTTTTTCTCCCTGCTAAAATAGCTGTTCTTTCAGACCAGAATGAGTTGTAGCCCCATTGTTGTGCTAGGAAATCTATGGTCGATTTTTCTTTAAGATAGGATTTTAAAAGTGTTAATATATTTTGAGCTTTTGATCTATTGTTTAGACCTTTTATATTTAGTGTAGCGATTTTGATCATGTTTGTTGATATGAATAGTTTGTTGGCTACACTTGTTTAATCTCAGTGATTTAGATTTGGTTCTTAGGAAGGCTCTGAGTAGAGCCTTTTCCTGGTCATTCTGAAGAAGAGCTACCATCTTTTGAACTATTTTTTTTCTTACGTTTCTTGGAGGTTACAATATTAAAGGTAATTTCTTCCATGTTGTTATCTTTTTCTGAGTCTGAGTTCTCAACAGTTTTTGTTAGATGAGATTTGTCAGCTTCTTTTGTTACATTTTCTGAGGCAATTTCTGTAGTAGCTTTTGCTGAATTATCTTCATTTGGAGAATCTGTGTTTTGACTTCCAGTTTCTGAGGTTT